GCCACATTCAAAGGTCGCCTGTAACCAATCAAGCTCACACGGATTGTTTGGGATGTTTTTGTAACACCGTATTTGAGCCTCACACGCAAAGAAATGTTATGCGCAGAATAAGATGCACCTGATCCGTTGCTGAGATTGCAGACGCTGAGAAAAAAATCACGGGAAAGCAGTAGTGTGCGCTACCAGAAAGCTTATTGGAATGAGGGACCGGGTCTGGGCGCATATAGTCTTCGAGAAATGCCCAACGATCATGACCGCTGCGGCTGTAGCAGACTGAGCTTCTAATGAAGGCGTTCTGGTTCAAAGGCCAATTCAGCAGTAAAGAGTTCCTTATTACAACCTCATAAACCCTTGGTAACTCGTCAACTCTTTCTACTCGCACAACTCTTTCTCGAGGCACCGTTTTAGAGTCACTCACACAAAAGCTCGGCCGAAAAATCCGCCTAATACCCAGAACATTTCTGACGACGTGGATAGGGTGAAAACAGAAAAATACGAGAAAATTGAAAATACGAGCGAACCATCCTCCAGTTAATAAGAGGGAAGGCTGCAAGCAACCCAGACCATTGCTGCGCAGTACGTCCATATGAACACTGCATGACATGCAGAGACTTGCATAGCATGAAGAAGTACCTCACTTGCCGTTTGCACCACACTTCTACCTAATTCATTTCTGTAGGAGTGGACAACTATAGATTATTCCCCATATGTCCCTTGCTGCTTTCATCTGTAGTGCAGTCAGCAATTGACGAGGCTCCCAAGATCAACTCGCATCCCTTTGACTTATCCACCTTCGCAGTTCTTAGTAATCTCTCGTTTTCCACGCGCTATTGTATGCGAGCTCTTAGAGGGCAGTTGGCACGATGGTTTCCTACTTAGCCTAAAATGCTAGTAGGGCGCTGTATAGTGGGGAAATGGCGAAAGAACGGAGTGAAACGGTCAAAATCCTGCGAAGAAAAAGCCGTTCTCAGTGACTTGTAAATCGATTTCGGACGAGTTTCCCGTAGGCATCTTACCAATCACCGCTACCGAAGATACGGCTGCATATGTGTACCCATGTATGCATGCAGCATCACGGCCGCTTCATACCAATCCCTTCGCTTCATAATTTGCTTAGCAAATGAATCGATTAGAGCGTCAGGAACGGTCGTCCATTTGTGGGCGGGCGGGCGTTTGGGACGTAAAGTTGTGGCTTGATAGGGCCCTTATAAGGGCACCTTCCTCGGGGAAACCGCTATGCAGCCAGGGTCGCGGAATTCTATCCTGCCAGGAGTATTGATCCTAGTCGTCTTGGGGGATTTATCGTGCCAACTGCCTTTAATGCTGTTGAAACGTGATGCATTACTTGTTTGTGAAGGTCGAGGAAAGGGGTTACGGCACTAAATATGTCTTGTGAAATAATGGAGTGTTTCACAACACAAAAAATAGGCAACTAAAGAGCCCCTCCTATTCCTCCTTAGTGAACCATAATGACCATGGCCTTCAAAATAAGCATAGTAAATCGTCACCTGGTCAATCGAGCAGCCGAATCTCCACTCAGTACGCAGAGCACACTAATTTCGACAGACTTGGAACTGTTCAAACTTCAACTAACAGTTGTATTTGTCTTGTACAGACTAGGGTTGTGTCACTCAGCAACACTTTACTTGCTCCTCGGCCGCGCCCGATGCTGGCGATGCTGTTTGAAGTTCAGAAGCCTGTGAAGCTGTTCCCACTGCAGCTGATCCGTGAGGCGTCTCTCGTGTCAGAGTGGCCTCAGCCTTCGGTGTCCGTTGATGCACGATGATGGCTAACACAATATAACAAGCGATGGGCCGAAACCAAAGAAGTAACTGAAATGGTCCCTGTAGATTCGCAAACAGGCCCCCATAAGTGAGGTAAAGCCCGCGATCTTTTCTCCGTAAGTCACAGTAAGTGGATTGGGGGCTTGCATGTAGAAGGCTAGGTGATGAGCCGCTCGATAGTGAAGAAAAAGGCAGAAAAAACGCCAAAAAAGCCCCACATAAAACCCGATTTCGGTCTCAGTTTGTATGTGGCCAAATAAATTCCATCTCCATCATTACGCTCTCATCGCATAGCTGATTCCCCAGTGAGACCTCTACGACCGTACAAGTGCGATTTTCACGCTTTTTCGCCCTACAGCTTCGGTTTTCACTGAAAGACGGGCCTTGAAGGCAGAGTTTGGAAGCGAAGTCACTGGAAAAAGGAGGCGTTACTGAACCTGCTGCGCCATAGCGACCCATCCTTACGCTTTTTGCTGCGAAACCGGTACAATGTTGTTTGCCGCGGACCACACTACCCTCCCAGCGCAATATTTCGAGCTTCTACACCTGATCGCGGACCGTACCTTTGAAATAAATGGGATGGTGGCCTGGGCTCACTGTCGATATGTTAGTGGCCCAAGTACTCGATCAGTTCGATGCTAATGTTTGTAACCAGGGCACGCCATCTTTGTGATCATCACAACAGGGGGGTCGTATTTGCCCGCGATGGGGGGGGTCGTAAACGCATGGCCCATGTTGAAGTGGAGAGAGCGGTGATACACGGTACAAGTGAAAAGAAGCTCAAAAGGGACGATGTAGATGACAATAAATAGAACTAGGCACTATCGAACTATTCCTAGGCCAAGAACTAAAAAAATATTGCTGAAACTTTTTCCTCCTTCCTCACAAAAAAACTTCAAGACACTTCGCCCACCAACCCTCCTCATCTGGTCTAGATAAATCCCAATCCACTAATCCGCAAAATCTAGAAAAGAATCCATTGCAAAAGCTACCTATGAAACCGTAGAAATTGAATCCTGAGCAATTTCCTCACAACAAAATCAAACTCAACAAAACAAAATCAAACTCAACAAAAAAAACAATCAAAATAATTCACAATCAAATGGATAAAAAACTCACCAGGCCAGCTGGGAACCGGAACTATGGATTACTTTTGAATTTTGGCTGTTCGCGGTCAGCGCGCTCATACAAGCTCATTGGTGCGCGCTATTTTACGGCCTGGAGCCAATTTCAAGCCAAAGTACCCCTCATTTGAACACCCATAACTTCGTTGAAAGTGAAGCTATCGGAGAGGGGTAAGTGGGAATGAGTAGAGCTAGGTTGGCTCTTGTCACCTGAATTGAGCGATTTCAAAAACCGATTCCAGAGATTTTCCCCGTTGTGATCATCGTTGTGATCCGTCTGTGATCATTTTTGCGAACCGCGAGTCGCTACGCTTTGGACGTCCATGGCAAGCTTCATACACGGCCTTTCGTAAAAAAAGAAATGCGGCCGGAAGCTTGAAGATTTCTACTTTCCAGCAAGGCTTTAATTTTCTTCCTAGGCCTGCTATTCGAAAAAATTCCCCGTTGTGATCATTTCGTGACCACCCCCCACGACACGAAAAATCAGCCCCTCCGAGGCCATGAAACCTCCAGTTGGCTTGAAGACTTTGGTATGCTTCTAAAACACATGTTTTCGCAAAGGGTATCAGGAAATAGGCCATTGGGCGCCAATTGGCATCACCTCTGCAATGCGCCATGCATGGGGCTTTCACGCAGGTGTTTGGAAGGTGTAACTTCTAGATAGGGCTTCCCAATTGCAAGCAAATGTGCTCCTGCAATCAGAAAAGTCCGGGAATGTACTTTCGTCTGTTTATTCATCGTCAGTCGTAAGTCCTTTCCATTGTTTATAAATTCATGGTGCCCTTGTGGGCGGTGATCGTAGCTCCTATCATCGCCCCTTCCTCGTACGTATTGTCAGTATGCTACACCAGCGCCAGAGTGCTGGACGTGCTTGGGACGTACGTAGGTACTGCGACCCCCCCCCGCTCGACAGCAAAATTTTGTAAAAAAACCAGAAATTTTTTGGGAAAAAATAGACAAAGTGGTAGGAGGTTGGAAAAATCTAGGGAAGAGGTAACATGGGGAGGGGGGTCGTACTTGAAGATGGAATTAGGGGGGGTCGTATTTTTCAGGAAATGATCACAACGCAATGGCGTGCCCTGCTTGTAACAGTGTATCACCGTACTTCTGAATCACTACCCCTTTTCTGCTGAATTTCGGAAGCGAAGCTTTGATCGTGCTTCTAGGATGGGCGCCTATCTGATGTCAACTCATTGCGACGATTCCTGGCAGAAGGGTCCCAACTCCAACTAACACTGGAAATCCTATGACCCACTTTTTTTGCCGGTCTGCCAGATTTTGTGTAGATTTGAGAAATATCTGAAGTGAGAAAACCAGTTTTCTTCTATTTCCTTTCGTCGTTAAGTCATTAGTATAGCACAGGATAGCTAAGCTGATTGTGAGGAAATGAGTGTACAATATAACAAAGAATGTTAAAAGAACCACACAGTTCACTACAAAAACCTGATTCTTTAGGTTTCCATGGTTGTGGTTGAAACCGATTTGGTACTTGAGTGGGAACGGCTTCGAGTTCGACAGGCTGGTGAAGCTCACTAACGACTTCACGAGGAAGGTGGGACTTTATGAGTTCAGGTCATTTAAGGCTGCGCTTACACTTCGGCATGATGCGCCCCGACGCGCGTTCTTTAGTTTCCGCTGCAGCAGCGCTCCAGTGCTCTGGACGGGAACTCCAGCCATAGACAGGTGTCGATCTCTCCGTCCGTTAGTATTTCGAACAGTATAGGGAATAGAAGCGAACTAGACTGTGCGCGCTAGTTTCAGAAAGTTTAGGAGATTAGGGAGGCAGTTTACAGTATATACAATTCGCGAATCTTCCATCGTCTTACAGTTTCTCAAAAGATTATCGGTCGGCGAGGATCGATCCCGTTTCTGGCTGCGTTCCCATCCATATCATAAAAGCGTTATTAGCGCGACAACGCGCGTCATCGCGAAAGTCTACGCAGCCCTATATCTGCGTTTCTAGGTGATTGCCGATAGGAAAAGCGTTATGGAAGAAGATGGTTCAATCGAAGGAAACGAAGAAAGTCTGAAGCGAGAGAGGCTAGCCTTTCCTTGATCTTCTTCTGCGAATGCAACATACCAACCAGCTAAGTGATGAAGATATCAGGGAAGAAGTTGACACATTCATGTTCGAAGGTGAGTCGATAGTTATAGTTATCACAAGAATGCTGAGTTGTGAGCAAAAGTCGTGCCCTAGGCGGGAGTCGAACCCCCACCTCCTCTGAGTTGATAGTAATTGATTACATAAAGGGATGCATCCACACAGGACACTCATTCTTTTTCTTGCTTACTCATTCAAGGAATATGCAAGCGAACAATTGCAGTGCACAAAAATTGGGAGCGGCTCGGATAAGGGTGCCGAATTTTCACTTAACTAGTGCCTAAGCAAAATGTCCACCTCCGGTGGTGTTCACGCAGCTTAGACAATGGTCACTATCCTTGAGTGATTTCAAAATTGAACACCTTGATGAGGTGCACTGCCAATGCTTGGCCTACAGTCAATATCTCAGGCCAACAAGGGGTGTGGCTGCGGGGCGTGACGGCTGTTAGGTAGAGGTAATTGTATGAGAGAGGAGAGTTGGCTGGTAAACACGTAGTCTTCGCTGGGATGCCCCTTTTTGCTCGTCGATACGACTTGGTACGAGTCTTTATGAAAATAATATGGAGGACCAGTTATCTAGACGAAGAACTTCCTTTCAGGACATGACACAACTTCCAGTGGAATCGGTTTTACTGTGTGGTGGCTCGGACAGTCACCTGAATCTCAAAAGAAGGTTCACGAAGAGCTTGATAGTGTCTTTGGTAAGCATGAGATGCTATAGCTGTGACAGCACTTTCATTTTTCGTTAAGATTATGTTACTGTAGGCTATACCAATGACATGCGCCTTTTTCTAATAATTTCTCCCTTTACTCTGAAGTAGTTCCCTTTTAAGTTATGACATGGTCCTAACCCACACTGTGAACACCTCGTCTCAGTCTTTGTACTGAACACGCCTAAATGATCCACAACCGGCGTGTCAACCAGTAAGAGTTGCTCCAATTATAACCTCACCAAGCGGACGCACAGTTTGGTGGCCAGCCTTCTTCCTTCGCTAGAGATCAGGAAACAATTCTTGCATATGTGAAATTTGACCCAATTACAAAACCTTCCTGGCGCAGAATCTGCTTCGAGGGCAATTCGTAAGCTCGACGCAGCGCAACTCTGAAAAAAATCTCTAGGCTGGAAAGCTCCAGACTAATATCTTATACCACTTCTATTAAAAATTTGTATACTTCTGTATATTATCTGTACCAGAAATTGCATAGCTTCAGCTCAACTAAGAACATTTCCCGCTACTCGTGAGTCAACCGCAAAGGGACTACAATGCAAGACACCGGACATAAACGCTATTCCTATCCAGCCCTTGGATTATAAGGAATCGTGTAGCGACAGAAACCTCGAACTTAGAAAAGCAGACCGCTTAGGAGAGGTAGGGAACGATGCACGTAACGACTCTGGCTGAGGAACTATTGTTCATCAGAAGATGTTCCCTCCCAAAGGTTTCGGGACAGCTACCTTCAAGCTGCTTCTCCTAGACATAGGCGTTGATGCCGGACCCCGCGCTTCAAACACAAATAAGCTCAGTATTTTGACAAGTATTTTCAATGCCCAATGCAATCTACAAAATTTGCAGAGTGAAACGATTTAGTGCCCATTTTCTTTATTTCCTGGGAGAATATCAGCAGAGAACAGCTTTTTTCGAGGATGCAGGAAAGGAATGCTGCTAGTTCTTTGGCTTCGGTCTGGGAAAAGGTACGCAAGGGTGGTCTCCCCTCCCACTTCAATATTTCCTGATCGCAAACTTTTTCTTTCGCTCTAGTTTTTTTTGAATTACTTGACATTATTTCCTTGGTTGAAGCAGATGAGGTGTAGTAGCAGGTGGCACGCTTACAAGGGAGGTCGTTCAGGCCGTGGTGAGCTTTTTCAAAACGATTTGTTGCATGTTGTAGGGGTCCATACAAGGACCACACAGATGGGTTTCATTTTTGCTAAACGCTATTGGGAATGTCAAAAAAGGAATAAAAACAAATCGCTTAAAATACGCAAGTTTTATCATCTCATTCGCATCTGTTTCAGCTGTAAAGCAGAATACATAGAGTTTATAAAGTGTTCCTCAACTAGACATGAAAAACAATACTGAATAAGGTCGAAATTGAAGTGCTTTACTTTGCATACAGTGAGGTATACTGCAGTTTCTTTAGGGGTTTATGCAGCATCTCCCTTCCGCGCTCGCAGTGGCCATTTAGCGCCACGCTGGCCCCAGATCACGTCGGCGCCATAAATAATTGTCAGAATCGTGATCAGGGCCATTGATTACCCCTATTTAAGAGGTTTCAGCGAAAAATTTTTTTCGAGTTTTTTGGTGGTCATGGACTTGACCATTTGGATGGCAGTGACAGGCGAACCACCATTGGGTATCCTCTCTGGCATACAAACACCAGAAATTTTTCATTTCTTGCACTCTCAACTTCAGTAGGTTTACATAGAACACCGTGCTGGCTTCGGAGTCATTAAACGAGCATCCTGAAACTTTCTCCACTTTTACCGTCTTCGACAATTTCGACAAAGAACTCGTTACCACCTGCCCGGAAAAAAAAATCTTGTTTCTCCCATATCAAAGGTATTAGTGGTGTGCAGTGTATGTGCCTCACTGTTCTGTGTGGCTGTTAATTCTCGTCTGCATACTAACAAATGAAAAGCCCCTCTTAACGATGTTAAATAATGACTCTTTAGGGGGGGGGGGGGGGGAACTGATAGCCACTAGCTGGAGACATGGCAGGCATCATAACACAAAAAACTCGGAAAAAAATTTTTCCGGCGTAACTCTATACGTAGGGATAGTTCATGGTCCTGATCACGGTTCTGACACTTATTTTTGGCACGGAGGCCATCTGGGACCAGTATGGCACTAAATAAGCCCCGCCGCGCAGACTAACAATGGTGCTAGTACGAGAAAGCCTTTACACCAAATTGGCGACACATTGCGCCATATTTAAAAATGAGTGTCATGTTCATGATCAGAGGATAACCGCCGTAACCCAGGTTTCATAGTGAGTTTCTTCGATAGTATTTCGCGAGCGTAACAATTGAGTGAGGCCCCGTTGTGAACTGTTCCCGCATGGAATGTGCCTTTAAATGGCGTATATCCGGGTCATACACATTATGGGGCATTCGGGAATACAAGATGCAAGAAATCTGAAAAATGCAAAAGTGTGCCACCAAGGGGATCCGATCCATAAACCCAACCTAATGAGAGCCCGTCACGCTATCCACTACACCATCTGCCACTGCGACGTGGGAGATGTAGGACCTGTTGAAGAGAACGCGCAGATGACTGGAAAACTCCAATGCAGCTCACTACATGCCAAGTAAAGCATTTGGATTTTGACCTTATTTTGGGCTGTTTTTCATGCCTACTCAAAGGATACCCTACATACTATACCCTGTCAACGCTACAGCTAGAACAGAGGCGAATAAGGTGGTTTAAAAAGTCCATTCTTTTCGAATTATTTTTGACCTCTTTTTGACATTCCCAGTACCGTTTAGCAAAAATGAACCCCAGTCGCAGTGGTTCGTCGCCATTAGACGCCATAAGCAGACATGCAACAAACCGTTTGAAAAAAGTCATCACACGGCCCTGAACGACCCTCCCTTGTTTAGCACGGTCTAAGAGTCAAATCCTCGCGATCAACGCACTTCCAGTTGAACGCAAGATCTCTTACCTGCGGCGATGCTTAATCAGTCACCATTTCGTCTGGAGATAACAACACTGCGGCTTACACTTTGGCAGGCCCTCTTCATTACTATGCATAATGCAATTTCGATGGATACGCTCACGCGTATAGGCCGCAGTTTCGTCTCTAGCACCGCAGCCTTTTATTTCTGGCTGTACTTTTGCTTGTTATTTGCTTGTTCTGATATACGAGAGCCATTTGCATTTTGATGAAAATTGCGTAAGGCTGCAAAAGGACTCACCTCCGGAACCAACTAGTGTCAGTGTCAAATTGGTCTGAATCTGTCGCTGAAGATACTGGCTTGACCTGAGACTTTGAGGAATTCCTTCGTATACCAATAGGCGGTCGCCAATCAAGAGACTCAAGTTGTGACTTGACGACTACGACTCGACATTCACATCAGCGCCTGACTGACATGAGACGAAGAATTTCACTAAATAGAGTCAATTAGGCAGGATTAGCCACGCCACTGATCATCGGATCACGGATCTCTTGACTCACATCTACCGGAGTGCATTCAAGTGCATCCACATACGGCGGTATTGTGTCTGTATACAGTGTTCGGTTTCGTACTTTTCTAGTCGATAGAAGAGGGTATCTGTAAGAAAATCGGACTGCAAAGGCAGATATCACTCGTGTAAAGACGAACCGCACACTAACCTCCGCTGGCCTGGTTCTTGGTGGATGCTGGGAATAGCTCTGCAGCTGCAATAGCGTGGCACTAGCTTCGCTCTAAGTGCACGGGAACGATGCTTATACAGTCCTCATCATTACGGACTGTCGGGGCGACACAGCCACGTCACCGACGCGCAGCGGCTGCGGCTCGGTGAATCAGCTGATTTCCATGGAATTCGGCTGCGAATTCCCACTTTTTCAACTCTTCAAGCTTCGAAAGTGGAAGGTGAGTTATTTTGAACAATTTTAAATTGTACTGACTCTGAATGAATCTGAAAGAATAAAATGCCTGAAATAAGGCAAAATACAAGGAAAAGAGCATAATAATCGACATAAAAATAAAGGAAATCAGAG